GTTACAAAGAAAGATGGAAGTCTTAGATTTCGTGTGGACTACCGTAAGCCTTATGAGGTCACCAAGAAGGAGAGCATGCCTCTCCTGAGAATAGATGATACATTAACAACTCTATCGGGCTCCAAATGGTTTTCCACCTTGGATCTCAGGAGTGGATACTGGCAAGTGGCAATATACAAAGATGACAAGGAGAAAACTGCCTTCAGTTTCGGAAGCGGGTTATACCAGTTAATCGTGATGTCTTTCGGATTGTGTAATGCTCCAGCTAGGTTTGAGCGACTGATGCATCTTGTTTTGCGAGGCCTCACATGGAGAACTTGGCTGGTCTATTTACATAATGTCATGATCATGGGAAATTCGTTCCAAGAATATCTCAATAGCCTGAATCAAGTGTTTGATCGCTTCCAGAATGCCAACTTAAAACTCAATCCAAACAAGTGTTTTCTATTTCAAAAGAAAGTGGAACTCTCAGGTCCCGTGGTATCTGAAGATGGCATATGAGTTATGAAAGGAAAGATAGATGCTGTCAGGGATGGGCCAAAACCACGCGACAAACATGAACTGAGGAGTTTTCTAGGATTGTGTTCTTATTATCGAAGACTTGTAGAAGGATTCCCTAATATATCTGCTCCGCTTCATCGATTAACGAAAGAAAAGTCAACATTCAATTGAACCCAAGAATACGATTCCACATGTAGAAAATTAAAAGGAGCATTATGTACAAGTCGAGTGTTGTCCTATCCCGATCAGAAGACATGTTGATTTTGCACTCAGATGCAAGCAATATCAGTATTAGAGCTATCCTTTCACAACTCTAAAATTCACAAGTGCATGTGTTAGTTTGTGAATCTTTAAATCGCCTCTCCGTTTAAATTTTGATTTGCATCTGTCACATTCAAAAGGATAAATATCCGAGTATGTTGATACGTGCCTTTGCTAATTACCTTTTTCTTTAAATTTTGCATTGCAAATTCACATTCAAAAGGATAAATATCAGAATGTGTTAGTTTGTGTCTCTTCAAATAATCTTTTCCTTCAAATTTTGCTTTGCAAATGTCACATTTACAAAGATAAATATCCGAGTGTGTTGAAATGTGCCTCTGCAAATTACCTTTTTGTTTAAATTTTGCATTGCAAGTGTCACATTCAAATAGATAAATATCCGAATGTGTTAGTTTGTGAATCTTTAAAACGTGTTTCCGTTTGAATTTTGATTTGCAAGTGCCACATTCAAAAGGATAAATATCCGAGTGTGTTGATACGTGTCTTTGCAAATTATATGGTATGCTGGGTTCGGTAATTGCATCTGCGAGCAAAATGAGCAAAATTTGACAGACGTCACGTGATCACTTATTCCTTTTCACGTGTCAGATCACATGACATCTGTCAAATTTTGCTCACTTCGCTCGCAGATGCAATTACCGAACCCAGCATACCATATAATTTGCAAAAACACGTATCAACATACTCAGATATTTATCCTTTTGAATGAGACACTTGCAAATCAAAATTCAAACGGAAACACATTTTAAAGATTCACATTCGGATATTTATCTATTTGAATGTGACACTTGCAATGCAAAATTTAAACATAAAGGTAATTTGCAGAGGCACATTTCAACACACTCGGATATTTATCTTTTTAAATGTGACATTTGCAAAGCAAAATTTTAAGGAAAAGATTATTTGAAGAGACACAAACTAACACATTCTGATATTTATCCTTTTGAATGTGATATTTGCAATGCAAAATTTAAAGAAAAAAGTAATTTGCAAAGGCACGTATCAATACACTCGGATATTTATCCTTTTGAATGTGACACATGCAAATCAAAATTTAAACAGAGAGGCGATTTAGGACCGAATTTATTGTAGGTCCTTGAGGTTTCCTCAGACCTTAAGGAAGCCTTGAACGTTTAGAATTGACATCACTGACTTGTCAAATAGTGGCAAGTGTCCATTCTAAATTCGCGACTCCAAGGAAGATTCGAGGAACGACTATAAATTCGGCGCTTAAAGATTCACAAACTAACACATTCGGATATTTATCTATTTGAATGTAACACTTGCACTGTAAAATTTAAACTTAAATACAATTTGAAGAGTCATTTCTTAACACACTCAAATGGGAGGAATTTTAAATGCAACATATGCCACGCCAAATTTAAAGCTGGAATTTGTTTAAAGTGACATTCAGTGACCCATTCAGCTAGATAAATATTAGTTTGAATGTAATGCTTATATTGGTGAATTTAGCATTAGCATTTTTTTTCAAATTCTTTCATTTATTTTTGGTTAACAAATTTATCATTTATAGCTTTGAATTTGTATAGTTTGGTGTTTATATAAATAAATAAATATAATAATATGAAGAAATGTTTATTGTTTTTTACGCCTTAAAACACCTGCTAGGTTTTGTATTTAATTTGTAATTTTTGATGAAATATTCAAATATCACTATCAAATAGTATACATTTTTAAATCTCAGTAATAGTATTTCTATAGTTTTTTTTTCTTCATATACTTATATCGCTGGCATCAGTGAACTTCAACACAAATATTGAATTTATAAACTCAAAAACAATTGAATGAAGCCGTGTATAATAGCTCGGTTCGGTAATTGACACGCGAAAAGAGATAAGTGATCACGTGACGTCTGTCAAATTTTGCTCACTTCGCTCGCAGATGCAATTACCGAACCCAGCTATTATACGCGGCTTCATTCAATTGTTTTTGCGTTGAAGTTCACTGATGCCAGCGATATAAGTATATGAAGAAAAAAAAATTGTAGAAATACTATTACAAAGATATTAAAATGCAACCTATTTGATACTAATATTTTAATATTTCATCAAAACTTACAAATTAAATACAAATCATAGCAAGTGTTTTAGGGCATAATATTTACAAAGAAGCTATGACCTCTCGAACTCCATCCAGCACCTACACTATTATTGGTAAAAAAGTTGTATATTATTATGACTCTCTGGGTCCTCTGTAGCATAAACCTAATATTCTCACACTTCGTTTCATATTTGCTGATTGGAAGCAACAATGGCTTTGGCTTCTGCTAAAATGATGACACGATACAAAACATCACACCACACAAAAATCCCGAGCTAAAAATAGATTGCCATGTTGCCAAGCTTCGGACGCAATAACATACTAGGTTTATTTACTGTATACTTGACTCTGTATATTATTTTCGCACCTCTACCGGAGAATCGATGAACTAATAGTATACATTTTTATCTATAACACGAATATTATTGCGTCCACTACCAAACAGAAAATCCAGTAAAATCATAAGAATCTCAATAGATGCTTCCACTTTTTATTGTGAAAAGGAAACTTAGAAACTTCTGTCACCTGTTGGCGCCTAAATTTTGTTTAAAAATTGACGGGAAGTCACAAAAACATGAGTTGACATTGTTGCGTTCGATATTCGGACGCAGTAATTCGAAGGAAGCAACAGTGTATGTGTTGAGGAAGTTTATGGACGCAGCAATGATAGGATTTTGTATATATATATTAGCTGAATATTTCGGGTATGCGGTCTGTATAGTATATTAATACTCAATTGCTTTTAAACTCAATATTTCGTCAATTTATTTCGACTTCGTCAGGAGTACTTAAAATGTAAAAGGAATATAATAATAATAATAATAAAATAAATAATAAACTTACTTACAATGCTTAGAGTAGTACATAGGTGTGAATTTATCAAGATTGGATCAATAATGGTGGAATATTTTGTAAGTAAATTGTATAGAATATAAAAGTAGAAATAAAGATGTAAAACGATTGACAAGAAACAGAAAATAATAATAATATTGAGTTTAAAAGCAATTGAGTATTAATATACTATACAGACCGCATACCCGAAATATTCAGCTAATAAATTTGTACGGTCGAAATTAAATCTTTCAATATATATATATATATATATATATATATATATATATATATATATATATATATATATATATATATATATATATATATATTATATATATATATATATATATATATATATATATATATATATATATATATATATATATATATATATATATATATATATATATATATATATATATATATTATAATATTAATTATCACCATTTAAAGATTTAAAAATTATGTGACGCCCATATCCTTTATTTGTTTGATGTATACCAACTACATAGATGTTTTTTTAGTGTTTCAAGTCGGATTAAAAATACTATACCTAAATTTAGAATTAAAGCAATTATTATTTATTATTAAATCAGCTGATGGGGACAAAATAAAATAAATAGTTTTTGTTAATTTGGCCACAACAAAAACAAATTTCCAATGATTATAACATGGGAAAATATTATTTGTATTGCAACCAGAAACAAAAACAATGATAAAAATAAAGTTCCGTAATACATGTTTTGTTAATAACTCTTGCACATTTTGCGCCGATAACAATAAATAACAAACAATGAAATATCACTAATGAATGATTGTGAATATTTATATTATAAATTAAGCACGATTTTAAATATTTGTTTTGTTTAAAGGCATGCAATTTGATTATTTCAAAATTATCTCAAAAGTACTTTGAAAATATTCCCGAAATTTAGGGAAAAAGTTGCAATTTGGAAACCGAAACTTGAAATTTGAAGCATCTAGACACTGTTTGTTTCACATTTGTTGGAAATCTAAGGATTTTTACGTCGAAACTTTTTTTTTTTAGGTTGGCACAATTATTGTTGTATGTCAACAATTTTAAACCTTGACAGATGAACAATGTGATATTTGTTTCTCTGTCAACTGTCTCCAAAATTAGGAATAAAGTTTACAAACTTGGCAACTATAGAGGATGCAACCAAAAGCATCAAAACAATGTTGTCATATATTTTTGGCAAGCAAAAAGTCAAAGCAATATGGCCTCGAGGGTCATTGTATCTTTTAAAATGACAACAGTTCAATGTCAAAAGTTACTTGCACAAAGTGCGAACGGTTTTTGTGTGAATTTCATTTTGGAAAAAGGCCAAACAGGAGATTTTCAAAAAATCATCCTGTGTAGGCGCGATCGAAAAGTCGAAAATAGACAACAATGCACTTTTATTTTTAGAGTTTCGAGTTCCTGGTTTTGTAAAAATTAGGTCGTTTGAATTAAATTTAGAAAACTATTAATGATATAAGTAGGCCATCAAAAAAAATAACTTATCGTGAATAACTATTTTCTTAGTAAACAGTTTACTTTAAGTGGATTAAATTATTTTGACAAAGGCCACCTACTTAATTATTTTGGCCCTCATATAAAATGTTCATCTAATTTAGATAATAATTTTTAAATCTACTCTATACTTCATGATAACTATTTTTGAATGTTAATGGTAAGTATTTGAAATTTAAAAAATAAATTTAGAAAAAAAAGATTGTCCATTCTTTCATATCAATTTTAGGTTGGCACAACTGGTGTGTCAGTCTCTATAACGTTGACAGTTGCACAAAGCATTCAACGTCATTTGAAACATAATGGGTTTTGACAAATAACGTTTAATTCATTATTTATCTGTCAACTGTCAATGAAAGCAAGCTTTCTGTGCGGCCATTTTATCTTGCTTTCTGGCTTTCGTCATGTTTTCTTTGTTGAATGAATTTTTTGTATATTTTTGTTTGGAAAAAATCGAAATTTACAAGCTTGGAAGATACAAAAATTAGAAAGATAAAAATTAAGGAATATTTTTAGAAACAATTAATAGACAAGTTTTTCCTATTCTAGGCTCTTGAATTGAAAACTGAATTTCAAAACCAATCAAAGACCAGGAATTTCCAAAAATTAAATTTAAAGCCAATCAAAATCCGAGGAAATTGAAAAAAATTAATTTTAAAACATCAAATTAAGCCAATCAAAAGTCGGGAATATTTGAAAACTAAATTTTAAAGAGTCAGGAATTTGTAAAAATTCACTTAAACCAATTTAGAAATTATTATAGTTTTTAAGCATTTAAACGGACCGTGACAGTTGACAAATGAACAAACATCACTTGTCAACCTATTTACCTACAAATGACGTTAAATGCATTGTGCATCTGTCAAGGCATGAGACTGTTGACATTTGAGATACAACCTTGATACACCAATTGCTTTTGACGCAAAAGTCCTCAGATTTCAAACCAATGAAATTCGAAACAAATAAATGTGACAACAGTAATGCTTTAAGTCTCAAGTCTCTGTTGCCAAATTGCAACTTTTGTCCCTAAATTTAGGGAATATTTTCAAAAAAAAAAATAGAATTAGAAGCACATAATTGAACAATCAAAACATAATGACCGATAACAACAAAAAAAATTCAAATAAAAAAATTTATTACTTACTGATAACGTGTATCATAAAAGACCCGAAGACGACCATCCACCCCCAGCCGCCGTCAGGCGGCGCCGGATTCTCGCTTTCCTCTTCGTCTTCCCGCTTTTTTGTCACGTGATGCGCCATTTTCCGGTTGCCGGAAGGTCACTGTTGCGAGTCGGTAAAAAATCGGCACAACGACGTCGAGACGTCAGGAGCGGCGCACTTTCCGCCACGTCCGTCTCTGATTGTGATTTCGCGCAAACTAACGTCGACGTTGTTTTGGATCATCGTCGTCGTCCTTGTTTGATAAAGGCTTATCTCGGTTGATTTTTGAGCTGAAATTGTTGTAAATAAATGTTGGATAATTATTATTTTGATTAGTTATTGGCAATTTTGAAGTCAAAAATGTCAGAAATTTCACCTGTCACAGTTTTTCAAATATACAAAGTGGCAAAAAAGTCGCACATAATACCTGTAACTTTTTAATTATCCCGTATACGAAAAAGAGACCTTAATGAAAGTTGCTCAGTAAATTATTTCTAACATTTCTACCTAGACGAATTGTTTCTGTTACTTCTGGTTTGTTTGTTATCCAGACCAACTTTGTTTTTTCAAATGAAACACCCTGTATGTGATTGCATATTTGGATTCCACGTGAAATTCTGAGCAAATTTCAATAGACCTATCTCCTATTACCTGGACTGCGCGCGTCGTTTGTACTTGTAGGCTGCAGGTGAGCATCCAATGAGAAGCAAGTTTGTGACAGGCTTGCGTCATATTCTTATTCAGGGGCCATTTCAGAATGAATCGTTCCTTCTTTTTTTGTAACGTGTAATTTGACAAAGAGCAAACTAATACTTTACATATTACTTGAACTCACCGCAGTGTCGTTTAAGGATATGTTAGATTATACTTGACATATTCCTTTAGAATTTCATTGAGCGATGTTGCTGGATGAAACATTTATCAAAATAAAAGTGCAAACGATGTTCATCCACTTTAAAGCTCTTCTTTTGTCTTATTTAAGGCGTTATTGTAAAACACTTGACACTATATCACTTCTTTAATGTTATAATGTTCAATTTGTATTGTCTAGATTTGTTCTGCAACAATACAATCTGGCTACACTGCAGCCCACGAGTTGCGCGCGCATGTCATCTTGTATTTCTTTCTAACTTGTATTTATTATAATTAAACTTCCTTTTTCTAATCCTGCGAGATAGGTCTATTAATATACCCTATACTTGAGTTTAATTCTTTTGGAAATATATTTCCAAAATATTTGAACTTTTTGTATAGAGTATAACACATGAAATCTGCTCAGAATTTCACGTAGAATCAGTGGCGGCTCGTGACTGTTTCAAGTGAGGAGGCTAAAAGATTTTCAGTGATTTTGAGTAGATCTTACGAGTTTTTCTGGGATTTTGACCAACTTGTATACAAATTTTCATTAATTAACCGCTCAAAGTTTAGTTAACTCCATAAAATGTGTACATAATTGAATCTTTATTGATTTTGTAGGATTTTGAGGATTATTGACAAACTTCACGTAATTTTTAAAAAAATTAAATTTATAAGATTTTAGGTGATTTTGGATCATTTTAGGGAATTTAAAAACGGTTTTTATGGCGTTTTTACCAACTAATTTCGGGAAGCCTTAACGATAAATATTCCATGGGAATTCTGCGAAAATTTTTGTTAATTCCATAGAAATACCTCAGAATTTCACTAGAAGATTTTATGGAAATCCTCGAAATTCCATTCAAATGACAAATTTGAATAGAAAAACAGAAAGTCCTAGAAATTTTATCATAAGATTTCATAATACTTTTCCGAATTCCACCATAAAATTCAATGGAATTCTTGTACAAAAATTCCTCGAAATTACAGTAGAAGATTTCATGAAATTTCGACAGAAATTACTCAGAATTTCACTAAAATTTAATTCAAGTTTTCGGAATTCCGCCGAAATTTGTCGTGGTTCCATGGAAATTCCACGAAAATTCTGTTTAATTCCGAGGGAATTTTTCGGTTTCGATATAATTTCACTGGAATTCCACAATAAGATTTCAAGGAATTCCATGTAGGTGTAATTCAACGAGAATTCCTTGAAATTTGACCAACATCGAACAAAATCCTCCAAATTCCCCATAAATTTTTCCAAATTCCCTATAAATTCCTCAAGTTTTTAACAAAGAATTCCAAGGTGGTTTTGCCTCTTGGAAAATACAGTCTCAAAGTTTTCCTGGAAAACTAATTGGGGGAAAAGTTGAAACTTTTTGCATATAAAGACAAAGATTAGAAGCTTATTTTCTCAAAATTTCAAATTTTTCCAGTGGAAAATAAGAACATGAAGAATCTTGGAAATCAACCTCCAATATATGAATTAATTGAAAATACAGTCTCACACATTTCAAAGTTTTCCTGGAAAGCTAGTGAGAAAAAAAATTTGAAACTTTTTGCATGTAAAGAAGAAGGCGAGAAGCTCATTTTTCCAAAATTTCAAATTTTTCCAGTAAAAACTAACAACATAAAAAATCTTGGAAATCAATCTACAATAACTGAATTAATTGTCACATAATTCAATTTTTTCCTAAAAAACTAGCAAAGGTAAAAATTTGAAATTTTTTGCATGTTAGGAAAAAGGTTAAAGGTTCATTTTTCCAAAATTTCAAATTTTTTCTAGTGAAAAATAGGATTTCGGAAAGATTTCGAGGGATTATTCACTGTGACAAGATTTCAGATTTAGAGCGATTTTGAGGGATTTCGGTTGATTTCGAAGGATTTCGGATGATTTCGAAGATTTTGGGTAATTTCGAAGGATTTCGGAGAATTCCAGGTGATTTCGCAAATATTTTAATTTAATTTCAGACTGTTACTTATCTTATAAGTATATTCAAAAGTGTATCAGTATGTATAAACTGAAAAACGGCCGCGTTGGCCGATATATGAATTTTAAGCCAATTGCGAGGAATTTTTGGGTTTACGGAAAGATTCCGAAGGGATTTCGGACAAATTTGTGACACGATTTCGGGGAGTGATTAACCTCTCGAAGATTTCATCAAAGTTCTTTGGAATGCCATTAAAATTTCAAGTTATTCCATAGGAATTCAGCGAAAATTTTAAGTAATTTCATAGAAATACCTTAACATTTCATTAGAAGATTGTATGGAATTCTTGGACAAATTTTTTTCGGAATTACAGTATAGGATTTCATGAAATTCCTCGAAATTCCACAAATTCCTCAAAATTTTACCACTGAAATATCCTGGAATTTCACAAAATTTTCATAAAATTCTTCGGAATTTCATTGACATTTCATGTAATTTCTCTCTCGGAATTCACTAAAATTTTATGAGAATATCTACGTTCATAGCCGAAAATTTCTCGAGAGTCCAATGAAACTTCAAGGAATTCCTTCGGGCTCGCCTATAACTCCGGCCCTTCGGGCCGGTATTACTGACCCTGTATGTGATTGCATATTTGAATTCCACGTGAAATTCTGGACAGATTTCATGTGATATACCCTATACTTGAGTTTAATTATTTTGGAAATATATTTCCAAAATATTTGAACTTTTTGTATAGAGTATAACACATGAAATCTGCTCAGAATTTCACGTAGAAAAGAAATATGCAATCACATACAGGGTGTTTCGTTTGAAAAAACAAAGTTGCTCTGAATAGTAAACCAAACAAAAGTGACAGAAACAAGTCGTCTAAGTAAAAATGTGGGAAATAATTTACTGAGCAACTTTCATTAAGGACACTTTCTCGTATACGAGCTAATTAAAAAGTTACAGGTATTATGCACGACTTTTTTGCTACTCTGTATAGTTATTTTATTAGTGCATTCGTCACAATGTTCCGATGTAAACGTATCCAAAGCTAACCAATGCAATTTCCAATAGTTGACTTGATTTGGTCATTCAGTGCACTGCGTATCAACTCAATGGAAATCACTGGGTTTACACCATGAAAATCAAAAAATAAAATTCTCTGACAAGATTATTACATATACAATATACAAAGTATTTGCACCAGTGAAGGTCAAATTAACTTAAAAATTCTAATTTTAAACTAAATAAACAAAATTTATAAATATTTAAAACGGTATATTTATGTAATTATAATCTTTTTCAAGCCATTAACTTTTAGCGCTATAAACATCCATAAAACAAAATTGTATTTATCCAGATTACAATATTTATCTTGTACTTAATGAATTTATCTCAATGGGAATTTTTGATAGTTATTGACATAGAAATGATAAATTACCTTATTATGTAGTTGATTACATAATAATAATTACATAGTTTCGATTGTAATTTCCAATAGACACATATTATCTATTCACAATCCGATGTCCAAAGGTATAGGTAAAATGTATCACTTTTCAGTGCTATTTGATAAGGAAAAGATGATCAATTTACCTTTACCTTTGGACTACGGATTGTGAATAGGATATACCTACATTATCATTGGCAATTTGCTTTGAATTAAAACAATTTCGGAAATTAAAATATGGAAAAAACTATAAGATAATTACATTTCTGTTTAAGTAATGAAATATTCCATTACTAATGTCTAATTGAATTAATTTTTTTCCTTGATAATCTCGCATCTTTATCAACTTAAGAATAATCGATTGATTGTTTGTAAAATTTTCCACAAATTTATGTAGATCAGACATATAAATAATTAGAATCTTTTTTTTATTGAATATATTAATTGCCAATATGTATTATGGAAAAAAAAAACTACATTTGGCAATACTGAAATATCAAAATTAGGTAGAGATTTTCATTATAGACCACTAACATCAAAAATGATTTAGATTTTTTTTTTATTGAGAAAAGTTTAACAGTGTTGCCAATGTAAAACATTTTTCCGATTTCCATTTTGCATTTTTGGCCCTGAAAAATTTTGATCACCCAACATCGCCTCACAAAGTTGCTCATTACTCGATTGATATTCCACAAATTCTAATGTATATTTATATATTCTCAATCAGAATTAAATGATCTTCAATATGAAACAAAATTGAATCATTTATCTCAAATAGTTTCTGAGATATCGAGCCTCAAAGTTGAAGCTTTGTCTCAAATTTTGATTTGGTACAATACTTTACATATTATCACATAGCCTAGATACTGTACCGAAGAACTCTGGAAAATCTGCATTTCTTGCGGTTTAGGCAAAGTTTGAATAATCTCAAACACTTTTGGTAGTTAAGATTCAAAGGAATCAGACAAAATTAATATATCATCAAGATACTATACTAACAGATTAATATTTTGAAGGCCTGAGCAAATTCTATTGATTAGTCTCTGGAAAGTAGATGGCGCATTACGCAGTCCAAAAGGCATTCGTGTACCAAAAAGGCAGATAAATGCAATCTCATCTCGATCACAGGGGTTAACTGACACCGGATGATAACCAGTGTCTTCTTTTTGCTGCAGGGAGAATGTC